AGTGTCAAGCACACTCACACTCACTTACCTCTGTAACCACGCAGAGCAGGCCCTTTTCCATTTTACAGGTGAGAAAACAAAACTCAACAAAGTTAAAGGCCTTTTATATGTGGCCATGTACACAGCAGGACTATTCACAACAGCTGAAGTGCAGAAGCAATGCAAATGCCACTGACAGATAAAAGGATAACCTAAATGTGGCATTTATATACAATTACATATGTGTATAACATTCAGCCATAAAGAAGAAAGATATACTTTTTTTTTTTTTTTTTTTGAGACAGAGTTTTGCTCTTGTTGCCCAGGCTGGAGTGCAATGGCACGATCTTGGCTCACCACAACCTCCGCCTCCTGGGTTCAGGCAATTCTCCTGCCTCAGCCTCCTTAGTAGCTGGGATTACAGGCATGCGCCACCATGCCCAGCTGATTTTTTTTTTTTTTTGTATTTTTAGTAGAGACGGGGTTTCACTATGTTGACTAGGATGGTCTCGATCTCTTGACCTCGTGATCCACCCGCCTCAGCCTCCCAAAGTGCTGGGATTACAGGCGTGAGCCGCCACGCCCGGCCAGATATACTTTTTTTTAAGAGACAGAAGAGGTCTTGCCATGTTGCACAGGCTGGTCTTGAACTCCTGGTGTCAAGGGATCCTCCCCAGAAAATGCAGGATTACAGGCGTCAGTCACTGGGCTTAGCCTTTTAAATATTTTTTTTTTTCTTGAGACAAGAGTTTTGCTCGTCACCCAGGTGGGAGTACAATGGGGCGATCTTGGCTCACTGCAACCTCCACCTCCCAGGTTCAAGTGATTCCCCTGCCTCAGCCTCTGGAGTAGTTGGGATTACAGGCGTGTGCCACTAGGCCTGCATAATTTTTTGTATTTTAGTAGAGACAGGGTTTCACAATGTTGGCCAGGATGGTCTTGATCTCCTGACCTTGTGATCTGCCCGCCTTGGCCTCCCAAAGTGCTGGGATTTTAGGAGTGAGCCACCAAGACTGGCCTTAACCATTTTTTTTTTTTGAGACGGAATCTTGCTGTGTCGCCCAGGCTACAGTGCAGTGGCGCGATCTCGGCTAACTGAAACCTCCACCTCCTGGGTTCAAGTGATTTTCCCGCCTCACTGCTCCCCCACCCCCGTAGCTGCGATTATGGTGCCTGCCACTGCACCTGGATAATTTTGGTATTTTTAGTAGAGATAGGGTTTCACCATGTTGGCCAGGCTGGTCCCAAACTCCTGACCTCGTGATTCACCTGCCTCAGCCTCCCAAAGTGCTGGGATTACAGGTGTGAGCCACTGTGCCAGCCTTAAACATTTTTTTAAACTTCTTTTAGAGACGGGGTCTCGCTATGTTGTCCAGGTGAAATGAACGAAATTCTGACATGCTACAATATAGATAAACCTTGAGGACATTATGGTAAGTGAAATAAACAAGTCACAAAAAGATAAATACTGTATGATTGCCAGGTGCAGTGGCTCCTGACCTCAGGTGATCCTCCTGCTTCAGCCTCCCAAAGTGCTGGGATTGCAGGAGTGAGCCATCGTGCCTGGCTAAAAATGTTTTTTAGACGGCAAATTTTATGTGATGGTAGTGTATTGTTAGAATTGTGCTTTTTTTTTTTTTTTTTTTTTTTTTTGCTCTGTTGCGCAGGCTAGACTGGAGTGGCATGATCTTGGCTCACTGCAATCTCCGCCTCTCGGGTTCAAGTGATTGATTACAGGTGCACGCCACCAAACCCGGCTAATTTTCTATTTTTTGTTTTTAGTAGAGATGGGGTTTGGCCATGTTGACCATCAACTCCAGACCTCAAGTTGATCGCTGGCTTCCGCCTCTGAAAGTGTTGAGATTACAGGCAAGACACACCCGCCCTACTGTCATGATTATGCTATTTTATTATTATTGTTGTTAATCTCTCACTCTACCTCATTTATAAATTTTTTTCTCTATTATTTACAAAATGAACTGCAACTATAAAAATTAAAGTTTATCATAGTGAGAAAAGAAAAGTAGCTCACAGCAATCTGTACTATGTGAGGCAGGCAAAATTGCAGGCTCAGAAAGGAGTATGCAACACTAGGCCCCTTGCCTGGAGGCAATGGCTTAAAGGTATAAACCTGACTAGTGTGCTGCTTCACCCATTATCTTCAAGTACCTAAAATCTGTGAGACAAAGAACTATGTATAGCATATCAATAGCTGTTATTCTAATGTAAACTTCTGGTAAACAATTTAGGAACTGCCTCTTCTTTTCCTTTTTTATTTTCTCAATTTTTTTCTTTTCTTTTTTTGAGACGGAGCTCAGTTGCCCGGGCTGGAGTGCAGTGGCGCAATCTCAGCTCACTGGAATCTCCGCCTTCCGGATTCAAGCAATTCTCTGCCCCAGCCTTCCAAGTAGCTGGGATTACAGGCGCCTGCCACCATGTCCGGCTAATTTTTTGTATTTTTAGTAGAGATGGGTTTCACCATCTTGGCTAGGATGGTCTTGAACTCCTGACATTGTGATCCACCCACCTCGGCCTCCCTTGCTGGGATTACAGGAATAAGCCATCACGCTCCGCCTATGTTTTCAATCTTTTAAAAAACTTTTATCTCTCTCTCTCTCTCTCTCTCTCTCTCGTTCTTTTTTTTTTGTGGCTCCTTCCAGAGCAGAGCTAACCTAACTCCTAGGCAGTGTGCCCAGAGTCAGCCTCCTTTATTTTTTTCCACCAATATCTTCATGTCATCCAATCTTATTTTGCTTTAAAAACCTACTTGTGGGCTGGTTGCGGTGGCTCACGCCTGTAATCCCAGCACTTTGGGAGGCCAAAGCAGGAAGACTGCTGAAGCCTAGAAGTTTGAGACCAGCCTGGGCAACATAGTGTGACTGTCTCCAAAAACAAAACAAAAAATCCCACTTGTAACTGCTGCTAATCAGAGTGCATTTTCAGGGCAACTTGAATCTTTGCTCCTGAAGGCTATACTCAAAACTGGCCTAAATATACTCTACTTAATGTTAAGTTTGACTCAGTCTTTTCCTTTAGGTCAACAATAGGTATGAGCAAGAGTCCTAGCACTTGGTCATAAAGCTTCTGGGCCTCTGCGGCCTTTGTCACTTCCCCTCCTCTATTATTTCTGTGGCCCCCATCTCCTTTCCTACTGGGATTCCCAGGAAAAACTTAACAAATAGAGCAGTGACCGCTGAGTTCCCCAAGGGCTTGCTTTGAGTTAGAAAGGAAGAGTAGTTTGAAATTCCCTTACCTTGTCATTATCATGAGTAATTAAGACATTAACTATATAATTGACTCTTTAACATCAAACTCTCACCACCCAAGAATGCAAACTGCGGGAAGAGAGGAACCTGTCTGTTGGTTCACAGATTAAACCCAGCCTAATATTTGACACACAGTAACCCCTTACTTAAATATGTGAATGTGTAAATGGAGTAGAAGTCTTAGTGAAACTGTAAAAGAGCTTACCAAAGGTTTATGGTTGATTATCACAATCTCTCCCATTCCACTCACCTGTCCATTTCCTGGTTTGGACATGGTTTTTCGGGCTCGGTGGACCTTGGGCTGCCCCTCTGGGCTGGTGGTGGCTGGAGGGGGTTCAGGCCCTGCTGCTGCAGTTCCCTGGGCTCCCGGCATACTCAGCAGCCTCATAGCCAAACTCTGGACGGATGGAGGTGATTTTCCTGCCCCTGTCATTGACATCTTGGCCCGGCTAGGACAGGAACCCCCCTTGCTGGGGGAAGAGGGGAATGACTTTGTGGCATGGCCTAGAAAACAGGCAAACAGAAGGCAAGATAAGGACTTCGGAGTCAGAAATTTCCCACCCACCCTTCAGGCTACCCAGCCTCTCACCCAGCAGGATCCGGCCCCCATGGAGGTCCCCATCTCCCTCCAGATTCTCGGGTTCATCCCCAATGAGTGGTGTAGTCCCTACAGGGGTGTCAGCCCCCTCATCGCCAACAGTGACAGTGACAGAGGCTGGAGATGAGGGGCCAGCAGGCTCCAGGGAGTCGGGGGTGGCCTTGGGCAGGGTCTCTTCACTACGGGAGGTGTCCCCCAAAGAACCATGAACTGTAGAGGAAGAGAAAAAGTTCAGAGCTAAGGGTTCAGGAGATCCTGTGTTTAGGGAAGGCGACTGTCCAACTGGGGCCCGTTTTAGCACTCACCTCTCTCAGTGGCTCCTCTTGTCTCCTTTTCCAGCAGCAGCGCCCCCATCTCAGCGGGGGCCTCCCCCTGGGAGGGGAGACAAGGGACAGGAGGGCTGGTCAGCCCAGTAGAGAGTTGGGGGGTCCAGGATGCCTGGGCCCTGGGAAGAGAGAGCAGGCTCCGGGGCCTACCTCTTCCTCTATGGGGGCCCCCCCTTCCGCGGCCTCGGCTGCCCGGAGGGGCCGCACGACCCCTACCCCGAGCCCGCATCAGCCCCCTCCCTCTCGGTAAACCCCGCATCTCTGGGGCCGAGAGAAGAGGAGGGGGAGGGGGCGGGGCCTCCGCGCCCCGGCCCCGCCCCCTCCTCCCGGCTGCACGCGCCGCTCCCCCTTTGTCCCCCAGGCCGCGGGGACCCCGGGCACCAACCCCTCCAGCACCCGCTGCCCCCCAGCCCGGTGGACGGCCCCTCGTGCCCCTCGAGCGTGCTCCTGGGGCCCCGGCGCCCGCCGTCCACTCAGGGGCAGCCGGCGGCTGCACGCGCGCCTCCGTGCCCACTCCCCCCACCTCCCACCCCCTGGTCCCCTCATCCGCCCCCGGTGCTGGCCCCCCGGATTGCTGCAAGTCCCGCCCGGGCCCCCCGGCCCCGTTGCACCCCCGGAGCATTGCACGGGCGCGCGCTTCCCCCGGGCGCGCGCGCGGGCATGCACCCGCCTCTCCCCCTCCCCTTCCGCACCTCGGCGGCCGCCGCCGCTGCAGCTCCCGCCGCCGCCGCCATCGCCGCTTGCGCTGGGGGCCGAGCCGGCGCGCGGCCGCCCCGGGTCACGTGGGCGAGGGAGGGAGGGCGAGGAGGAGCCTTAAAGGAGCCGCTACACGCTTTTTGGCCATTTTCCCCTGAGAGCGGCCTCGGAGATGGCTGTGAATGTCCTAAGCTGGGAGCTGCAAGGGAGAATTCCTGTCATTCCTGGCCTCAGCTCTGCAGGGACCCAGGGCGAGGCACGCCTGGGCCCCAGGTGTGGCGTCTCCGTCCCCATCTGGTTTTAGGTAACAAGCGGAGCTTCTGAACCTCCCGGCTCTCGGCAGCGGCTGTATTTCCTCTGGCTTGCTTGGGCTTTTCCCGCCTCTGGTTGCTTTTCTGCCTTTCTATTTTCTGGGTTGCCAGATAGAAGGCTCGGCCTCAGTTTTGGCCTCGCCTTTCTTTTTTTTTTTTTTTTTTTGTGACAGAGTTTCGCTCTTGTTACCCAGGTTGGAGTGCAGTGGTGCGATCTCGGCTCACCGCAACCTCCGCCTCCTGGGCTCAGGCAATTCTCCTGCCTCAGCCTCCTGAGTAGCTGGGATTNTCGGCTCACCGCAACCTCCGCCTCCTGGGCTCAGGCAATTCTCCTGCCTCAGCCTCCTGAGTAGCTGGGATTACAGGCACGCACCACCATGCCCAGCTAATTTTTTCTATTTTTAGTAGAGACGGGGTTTCACCATGTTGACCAGGATGGTCTCGATCTCTTGACCTCATGATCCACCCGCCTTGGCCTCCCAAAGTGTTGGGATTACAGGCGTGAGCCACCACGCCCGGCCTGGCCTCGCCTTTCTAACGAGCAAGAAGGGGGCGATAGGGACGCGAAGGACACCTTTACTCTTGGCTGGTTCTAGCATGCTGCTTCACGTCCCCTGGAGCAGCGTGCCCTTTTGAAAACCCGTGGCTAAATGTCTCTTCTGTTTATATCAGGCGTGTTACACCTCCACACGCATTAGGGATCCAGGTAAGCCCAGCGGCCCGAAGGTCTTTACTGTCTGATGACACTGCAGTAAGTAACCTTTTTTGCCGAACACTTCATAAGCACAATCAGGTACTCCGTGGGTCACAGCCTAGCGGACAATTTAAGTATAAATGATATACACCAAGATAACAACCTCGATAGCTGTATTTACGGTATCCTCCCCTTAGGTATTACATTTTGGTTGAGTATGGAAAATATCTGTATGATTTCACACGCAGTATTTGACTGAGACAGGTGGGGCACCTGAGGCCAATTCAAGGCCTTCTGGGAACTGTAGTTCTCTTTGGTTAACTATTCCAGAGCTTTCTGGGAATTGTAGTTTTCCCTGCACCTTAATCCAAACTAACGTTCCTTTTTTTTTGTTTTTTTAAAGACACGAACCATTTACCCCAAACAAAATATAATTAAACACAGACTCCTGCTTACAATTTCCGTGGGCATGTTGGCCACATGTAGCTCATCCCTAGCACCGATCTTAAGCCCCTCAAATAGAGTTCATGTGCATCCTCACGACTGCCAATCACTTGTACTGTGAGGTACCTGGGGAAGTGCTGAGATTGCAGAACTGGTGGAGGGCTGGGGGCGGGGGGCTTGGAGGGAGTCCCTGGCCAGAGGAGCTCACTTGTCACACTCCTCTCCCATCACACTGGGCTCCTTCAGGCAAGGGACATGCATGAGTTGTGACCTGTAGGTATTGAGAATGCAGCATCATAGAGGCTGTCTAGAGCAGGATAGTCATATACACGCAGTTGCCAGAGTGTAGAAAGAAGAAAAAGTTTTTTTTTTGTTTTTTATTTTGTGGAAAACAAAAGCAGAAAAACTAAAACCCCAAACTCCAGAAAAAATCCTAAAAAATATGTTTTTTTCTTAAAAAATACTGTATAAGTCTCTACTGCTCTCCCTCCCAACAGCCCTTCTTAGGCTCTTTCTTCTAAGTACCCTACCCCCCACCCCCATGACTATCCACTGTTCTTGCTATTGTACCCCCACTTCCCAATATCTACCCAGGATGCGCACCCCGTGTTCTCTTACCTGGTGTCTTACTTTGCTCTCCCTCAAATTTCGGCAAGCCTCATACTCACAGTCCCATTTCCCCAGCATGCAAGAACTGTCTCCCCCTTCCTTTTCTGGGACTCAACAATCTTTTCCCCTTACCACTCCCTCACCCCAGGTCTATTCTAAGCAGGAGCATGTCCTCCTGCCAAATTCCCTCCCTGTTCCCACCCACCCACCCTTACCTCAAGAAATGTCAGAACCTTCCCCTGGGCAGCCTTAGCCAGGAATAAAACATTTTTGTCTTTGTCTTCCCTCGTTCTATAGGACCCTTTTCCCTCCCTCCACATATACATGCACCTCTAAGAGAAGGAAATTTCTCTGGGACCCCCGTATTACCCTGGCCTACTCCAAGAACCCTGTCCCCAGCTCCAGCTTCTTGCGCTCTCCAGAGCAAGTCTTCTCTCCAAGGAATCATCTTCCCTCTCTCAAGATGCGTGAGTGTGCTCAGACTCCCACTCTACCTTTCTGCCCCAGACCCCCCACCCCCCAATTCTCCTGGGCCAAAGAGCCCTCTTCCCACCCAGCCCAGGGACCCCCAGGCTCCTGGCCTCCACGCCTGCGCGGTTAGCGGATGAGGACGTTGATCTCGGCCACGCTGGCCTCCAGCACGTTCTCGGCCGTGGTCTTGCCGTGTTGCTCCTTGAGGTGCCGCCTAATGGCAGGCTTGTGGGCGAAGCGCACGTCGCAGTAGGAGCAGCGGTAGGGCCGCGCTCCCGAGTGCAGGTTGAGGTGGTCGTGCAGGGTGGACTTCTGGGTGAAGCACTTGCCGCAGATGCCGCACGAATGTGACTTGACACCACGGTGCACGTTCATGTGGCGGTTGAGGTTGCTGCTGTGGTTGAACTGCTTGCCACAGCGAGGGCACATGAAGATGAAGTGCTGCGCCCGCATGTGGAAGACCAGCTTCTCCACGCCCTGGAACACTTCCGGGCACTTGGTGCATTTGATGTTCTTTAAGGGGTTTCCACCTGAGAAGCCCCCAGGCAGGGGTCCCCGGCTGCCCCCCGCCCCTAGGCTGCCCCCCGCCCCCCGGGCAGCCATGGCCACCGCTGCTGCTTCCACCAGGCCAGAGGTGGCCCCCACGCTGGCCCGGCCTCCGGGAATCAACAGCAGACCCTCCCCTTCCGCGTCTTCTGACAGGCTATAGCAGGCCTTCACCACACCCTGCGGTGGGGCTACAGTGCTGGGGGGCACGGTGCTCTGGGCCAGCTCCCCAAGGTGGCCACCCACGGAGCCTCCAATACCCAGACCCCCTCCCAGGCTTCCAGGCGGTTTGAGCCGGTGTGCCACCTCCAGGGCCGACTCCACCTTGACGATGCAGATGTCAGACACGTCCTCGTCCTCATCCTCATCCTCTTCCTCGGCTTTTAGCTCCAAGTCCTCATCCAGTGGGAACTCCAGCTTCACGGGCCGCAGGAGAGGAGGGGGTAGAGGAGGTGGGGGTGGGGGCTTCGGGGCTGGCTTTGGGGTCCTGGCTGGGGGGAGGAGGGACTTGGTGGCGCTGACGCTGCTCACAAGGCTAGCCTCACTGACCCCATCCTCTTTGAGGCCTATTTTGGGCTCAATAAACTGGCTGAGGGCATTCCGGCATTTCTCCACCACGTGCTCCATCTGCAGGTAGGAGGCTGCCGTCAGGTAGTTGACGATGTCCCTAACAGCGAATTCCAGGGCGCCCGTGTAGCAGGAGAGGAGCAGGTCGGCCACAATGCGTGCACTGTGCATCAGGGAGACCTGCAGCTCCGAGCTGGGGTTCAGCAGGAACTGATCCCGCAGGAACGGTGAGCAGGCGGCCAAGATGACCTTGTGGCCTCGAAACTTGAGGCTGTCGGCCACAATGGTCACGTCGCAGAACCGCTCCTCTGCCCGGAGCTGGTTCATGTTCCGTAGCGTAGCGGCCTCGTGGCCGGGCAGCTGGAAGCGCAGGACTTCCACCCCAGAGGCCATTGTGGCGGGGGTGGGCAACCCTGGTTGGGAAGGAAACCGGTCAGAGACAAAGGTCTCTGGCTCTCCGAAGCCAAGGCTCCAGGACCCTCGCCCCCATTCTTGCCCGGCCCCCCAGCATCCGATCTCCCGGTCTTCAGATCTCTTCCTCAATTTCCCCAACCCTGGGGAGGCGCTGTCCCTCTGAGAGGAGGGAGGCGTGGTTCTCGGGGGCGGGGCAGCGGCGTCCACACCCCCCAGCCCAGCAGCCCGCTAGGACGGGGCGAGCCCGCGCTCCCACGGAGGAAGAACAGAGAAAAGGGGGGCCAGAGGCCTGGGGCTCTGGACTCCGAGGTGGCCCGGGTTGCAGGCTCTCCTCACCCCGCCCCCTTTACCGGCTGCCTCATTCCTCCGCCCCCCCTTACACGTTTGCACGCGCTTTTCACGTCCTCCCCCCGCCGCCTGCACGCGTCGTGCACGCCCTACCCCCACGCTCAAAGCTCCGTGGCACGCCCCCCCCAGCCCCACGACCCTGAGTGCACGCGCCTCTCACCTGGCCCGGTTCCGCGCGCTGTTTTTTTTATCCCCTATTTTCCCCACCCCCCCGGGGCCGGCAGCGCCCCCCACACACGGGCAGGGCCTGGGCAGCGCGCAGGCGCGAGGGTGCACGGGGCGCGCGCGCGGGGCCGGCTCCGCGTGGGCGTAAGGGGGGAGGGGCGGGGGCGGCTCGTGCCGTGTGTTCCAGGCCCCGCGCGCGCGGCGGCGGCGTCGGCTTGGACTCGGGGAGGAGGAAGAGGGGAGGGAATTAAAGGAGCAGGATCCCCCCTTCCCGACCCCCCTTTCTTCACCAGCACCCCCACGCGGTTAAAGGGCCGGACGGCCTTGCCTCCCCTTTGGCCGGGATTATTTGTCCGCCAGAGCGGAAATACGTTCCACACCCCCCTCTTTCTCGCTCCCCCTCCTCTGTGCCTCCGGGCCCCGCGGCCAGTCTGCGCGTGCGTGCCAAGTGCCGCGCCGAGGACGGCTCGCTAGGGCCCGCCCCTCAATCCCGGCTGCCCACGGCGCTACCATCTCCGCGCCCTCGCGCGCCCCGCCCGCGCCGCATGCCGCAGCGCGCGCGCGCACCCGTTCTCGGCTGCTGTCCCTGCCACCTGCTAGCAGGGGTGGTGCCTCTCCGGTCCAGCTGTGCCGAGCGGGGCCCTGGGTGTATCCGTGGCACCTCTCAGGGCCCCAACCGCCCCGTGGTTAACAGCTGTTGGTAGCTTGTTACCCATGCCTGCCTCCTTTGCTGAGTGTGTTCACCGTTGCTCCAGCTACATTTCCAGGCTTTTCCAAATCTTGTAAAGCTAGTAACCACTCCAGCCGTTCAGGCCTACAATGTGATTTAACTTTCCACAAAGCCAGACAATCCAGTGCCCTCAACTTTCCTCCACTCCATGTCAGTTCTTTAAAATCAATCACCCCCCTCCCCATTCTCAGAATTGATCCCAACTTCGTGCCAAGGCAGTTGGCCTCCACTTGAGCTATTGATGACCTTGCCCATTTCACCTTTAGTATATAATTAACCCTAGGATTAATTCTAATTATGTAATTTATTATGTTAGTATGATTCTACTCTAATCTTCCACCCCACTGTCCCCCTCATTCTTTACCTTTCCTCCAGACTGACAAGGTCCAGCCTTAAACAAAACTTGCCTTCAGCACTGCGCCTGGGCCTTCTCTTTCTCCGTCTCAGACTAAGTTGCAGTCTCCACAGCTTCAGCGACAGCACTTAGGAGTCTCTTGAAGACTGGTCCCTTCTCTTCCACTTCCTCGAACCTGTTACCTACACTCACTCCCCACCCATCCAAGTCTGTGTGAAGATGCCACTGTTTCCTGCCAACTGGATTTCTTTTATATGTCCTTCAGGAGACTAGTGCAATTTTCCTTACATTTCAATTCTGATGAAGTGTCTTATGTGTTCAATATCTGGTTTCCCCATGAGACTATAAACAACTTCTTGGTTGCAGGAATTATGTTGTGGGTTATGTTTTGCAAATAAAAATCATGCAATAGGCCAGGTGTGGTGGCTCACGCCTTTATCCCAGCGCTGGGAGGCCAAGGCAGGTGGATCACCTGAGGTCAGGAGACCAGCCTGGCCAATGTGGTGAAATCCCATCTCTACTAAATATAGAAAAATTAGCCAGATGTGGTGGCAGGTGCCTGTAATCCCAGCTACTGGGGAGGCTGAGGCAGGAAAATCACTTGAACCCAGGAGGTGGAGGTTGCAGTGAGCAGAGATCATGCCACTGCACTCCATTCTGGGCAACAGAGCCAGATTCTGCCTCAAAAAAAAAAAAAAAAAAAAAAAAAAAAAAAAAAAAAAAAAAAAAAAAAAAAAAAAAAAAAGTCATTCAGTAAATGATTGTTGAAGTAATTCCTTTTCAGTTTAGCCAACATCCACCCATAAAAAGTTTGCTCTTGAGCTAAAACTGAATTCTTGACTCAAGGGATGCCGTTTGGCAGGAGGGTGGAGGCAGCGTAGACAGCGTTTAAGTGGTGCCTTGACTCTTTGCTTTTTTCTTTTAAATTCTCTGATTTTTACGTCTGAAACAGTTCCCTCTATTGAATCTAAGAGTCTGTTCTAAACTGCTCTCTTTGTAGTTAGATGTAGATTTGAGGAATGACACATGACTTTATGTCAGATGCACTTAGGCTTAAAGCCATATTTCTAGGAGTTTCTGAGCCTACTCTGGCTCAGAAGGCTGCCAGATTTGTGAATCGTTTTTAAAAAATAAAAGCCATATTCCTGTACGAAATGAGGCCCATCGGGCAAGTTACTTCTCTGAATCACAACGTCCTTATCTTTGTCTCCCCCCGCCCATCCTTAGCTCAGTTGAAAGCCTCTTTATCTTGAAGGCCTTGATTCCTCACAGGACTAACATGAGGTTTAAATGAGCCTGGCATGCAGTAGATGCTGACTAAATAATAGCTCTGTTCCCCTTTGCATAATTTGGTAGACAGACTATGAAATTTTCAAAAGAACTTTATTTTAGATGGAATTTCTCTCTTGTCACCCAGGCTGGAGTGCAATGGCACAATCTCGGCTCACTGCAACCTCCGCCTCCCGGGTTCAAGCAATTCTCCTGCCTCAGCCTCCCAAGTAGCTGGGATTACAGGTGCCTGATACCATGCCCACTAATTTTTGTATTTTTAGTAGAGACAGGATTTCAACATGTTGGCCAGGCTGGTCTTGAACTCCTGACTTCAGGCGATCCACCCATCTCAGCCTCCCAGAGTGCTGGGGTTACAGGCGTGAACCACTGTGTATGACCTAAAAGAAAATTGTTTTTAAAAATTCTGTTTTTTTAGGCTGGGCGTGGTGGTTCACACCTGTAATCCCAGCACTTTGGGAGGCTGAGGCGGGTGGATCACCTGAAGTCAGGAGTTCAAGACCAGCCTGACCAACATGGTGAAACCCTGTCTTTAAAAATAATAATAAAAAATTCTGTTCTTTTTTTAAACCTCACCTCTTATTTTCCGCATTGCCAAACTTCTCAGACGAATAATTCACATTCCAGTGAGAGCAGAAATACAAAAAGCTCTCAAGTTAAGAATTAGAGTTTGTAAAGATTTGTTTCCTGTCTCCTTCTTGCTGCTTTTCCTTTCTGGGAATGTGGATGGGACAGAGAGCTAATCTCAGCCAATGGCTTAAGACAGGTAGTCCTTGGTGGCAGGCAGAGTTGAGAGCCAATGAATCCTTCAAGTGTCTAGCCCACCCAGTTACAGCTCTGCATAGAAACAAGCAGAGGTGCACACACCATCTTTTCCATGTAGTCTGGTGGAAGGGGTTTACAATCATAGATCTTTTCCCGTCTTTCCCAACTTCTGCCAGTATAAAACCAGAGCTATCCTGTCCTTAGCTTGTAGTACCAAATGCCTTGGTGTGGTGTCAAGAACAGATAAATTTAGGAGATATATTTAGGATTCTTGGGTCAGGCTTGGTGGCTCATTCTTGTAATCCCAGCACTTTGGGAGGCCGAGGCAAGAGGATCCCTTGAGCCCAAGAGTTTGAGACCAGTCTGGGCAACATAGCAAGACCCCATCTCTACAAATAATAAGAAAATTAGCAGGGCATGATGGCATGTATGTGCTCGTGATCCCAGCTACTTGAGAGGCTGAGGTGGGAGGATTGCTTAAGCCTGGGCAGTTGAGGCTGCAGTGAGCCATGACAGTGTCACCGTACTCCACCCTGGGCAATAGAGCGAGAGCCTGTCTAAAAAATAAAATAAATAAATAAATTTGCCAGGCGTGGTGGCTCACGCCTGTAATCCCAGCACTTTGGGAGGCTGAGGTGGGCGGATCACCTGAGGTTAGTAGTTTGAGACCTGCTTGACCAACATGGAAAAACCCCATCTCTACTAAAAATACAAAAAAATTAGCTGGGTGTGGTGGCAGGCGCCTGTAATCCCAGCTACGCGGGAGGCTGAGGCAGAAGAATCTCTTGAAACCAGGAGGGGGAGGTTGCAGGGAGCTCAGATGGTGCCATTGCACTCCAATCTGGGTAACAAGAGTGAATCTCCATCTCAAAAAAAAAAAAAAAAATGTATTCTTAGTGGGCTTGAGAAACAAAAACTAGGGGCCAGGCGAGGTGGCTCACGCCTATAATCCCAGGACTTTGGGAGGCTGAGGTGGGTGAATCACGAGGTCAGGATTTTGCGACCAGCTTGGTCAACAGGGTGAAACCCGGGCTTCTCTCTCCTTTGATCTGCACTCAGCTCTGCTCTCAGTCCAGGAACCCTGGTGAAAACTGCAGGAAGTTTTGGCAATGTTGGAAGAGGCTCACTGCTTGGGGAAAGAAGCCATGTGAAAACAAAGCGGCTGCACCACTCCCATCCATTTGCAAAACCACCTTTTCTGAACTCCCACCCATCCCCCTGAACGCTCCTCAATGCTGGCTCCCCCTTCTTCCTCGGAGCTCATTCTCCCCAGCTCTTCGGAGCCCCCAGCCTCAACCTGCCTCCAGACAAACCCTTCCCTCCTCCACTTACCTCAGAGGGAATTTAGGTCTCCCTGCAGCCCACCACCTTACCCATTGTGTCCTCTACACACCCTTACTGACTGCCCAGCTCAGGCGTATCTGGGGAAATGGAAGCAGATTCTCCCAGCACCTTGTCAATTCTAGACAGAACAGGACTCTTCCACTTCTTATCAAACACACTATCCTCTGAGCCTTACCAAGTCTGCTCTGCTACCCTCTGCCATCCTTGCTGCTTGAGCAGCTGACTTTCGGGCCTATGATACCTGGATCACGTTGTCCTCCCCAGGCCTGCCTGTGTCCCTGCAAATGACTTAATCCATACCCCAAGCTTTTTAAAAAAAATTGTTCATTTTATTTTTTCATAGAGTCTTTCGTGAGAGTAGAAATACAAAAAGCTGTCAAGTCAAGAATTAGAGTTTGTAGGGCTGAGCTCAGTGGCTCATGGCTATAATCCCAGCATTTTGGGAGGCTGAGGTAGGCAGAACATTTGAGGTCAGATGTTTGAGACTAGCCTGGCCAATATGGTGAAACTCCATCTCTACTAAAAATACAAAAAAAAAGTTAGCTGGGTGTGGTGGCAGGCACCTGTAATCCTAGCTACTTAAGAGGCTGAGGCAAGAGAATCGCTTGAACCCGGGAGTTGGGGGTTGCAGTGAGTTGAAATCGTGCCATTGCACTCCAGCCTGGGCGACAAGAGTGAAACTCTGTCTCAAAAAAAAAAAAAAAGAATTGGAGTTTGTAAAGTTTTGTTTACAAACTCAAAATTCAAAGTTCAAAATTCAAATTGTAAAGTTTTGTTCAAAATTCAAAGAGTATAAGAGTGTACAAGGCTGGGTGAAGGCTGGGTGTGGTGGCTCACACCTGTAAAAGCACTTACCTAAGGCAAGAGGATCACTTGAGCCCAGGAGTTTTGAGACCAGCCTGGGCAGCAAAGCAAAACCCAGTTTCTACCAAAAAAAAAAAAAAAAGCTTCGGTAGTGAGGTGTGCCTATGGTCCCAGTTATTTGCAAGGCTGAGGTGGGAGGATTGCTTGAGCCCAGGGAGGAGACGGCTGCAGTGATCCTTGCCGTGATACTGCACTTCCGCTTGGGTGACAGAGCAAGACCCTGTCAAAAAAAAAAAAAAAGTGGTTTCTATTGCTTAGGATGGAGTGCAGTGGTGCAAACAAGGCTCACTGCAGCCTGAACCTCCCCAGGCTAATTTGTTTTTATTTTTATTTTGAGACAGAGTCTTGGTCTTTCGCCAGGCTGAAGTGCAGTGGCACAATCTTTGCTCACTGCAACCTCCACCTTCCGGGTTCAAGCGATTCTCCTGCCTCAGCCTCCTGAGTACAACTGCTTGAACCTGGGAGGTGGAGGTGGCAGTGAGCTGAGATCACACCACTGCACTCCAGCCTGGGCGACAGAGTGAGACTCCGTCTCTAAATAAATAAATAATAAAATGTATCATGAAGGGTGTGGTTAAAAAGTGAAATAACACTTTTTCCATGTTTACGACACACTGGAAATGGCATCTTTTGCAACTAAATATTTGGGGAAAGTTTTAGATAGCATAAAACATTGCAAGGGATATATAGTTTGCAAAATTCTTTTAATATGAGCAAAAGGGTTTGAAAATTAAATGCTTCTCGAAATCAACCTGCGCATGAATCATCTGGAGATTTGTTTTAATTCAGAGTCTGAGTCAGTAGGTCTGGGTGGAGCCTGAGATTCTGTGTTTCTTTCTTTCTTTCTTTTTTTTTTTGAGACAGAATCTTGCTCTGTTGTCCAGGCTGGAGTGCAGTGGCACGATCTCGGCACACTGCAGCCTCTGCCTCCTGGATTCAAGCAATTTTCTGCCTCAGCATCCTAAGTAGCTGGGACTACAGGCATGTGCCACCATGTCTGACTAACTTTTGTATGTTTAATAGAGACGGGGTTTTACCATGTTGGTCAGCCTGGTCTCTAACTCCTGACCTCAGGTGATTCGCCTGCCTCTACCTCCCATAATGCT